TTTTATATTTATTTATTTATTTATATTATACATATTTTTATTTTATTTATTATATATATATATTTATTTTTATATTTTTATTATTTTTATATTATTTTACACACACACACACACACACATATTTATTTATTTATTTATTTATTTATTTATTTATATTATTTTTTATATTATTTTTTTGTTATAATTTATATATTTTTTACAGAACTTGTGCTCTTAAAGAACAAGAATTTTTATTTTCTGTTATTGCAATATGTAGAAAAAATATCTCTGCGTTATATTAGAAAAAGTTATGAAATATACATGTAATAAAATATAAATGTTTTGTTTTGTTTTTTTTTTTTTTTTAGGCTATGATTGAATTTCACGAATGATACATATTTCGTTATACTTGTCTTTATATGACGGTGCAATTGTTGTGAGAAATTAAAAAAAAAAAAAATCAAATCGATACATATATATGCATTGTACACATTTGTATATACTGTGACAGTTTTTCATCGCAGAGAAGCGCGTTATATATATATTGGTGATTCAACTCATCCTGTATGCTAGTGTGTTTCCGTGTATTTCGCGCTTTCATCCCGCGGCTCCGTTTATTTTTTTACGTTGCGAAACGCCAAGGTTTCGTCGCAATCGCAACCGCGTAACTCTCCGAACTTTTCTTACACTCGGGATTTCCAACATCGTCACGGAGGTGGTCGTGCTTTTTTATGCTGCGAAAAAAATGTACAACTATGTTGCGAAATATCCCTCACGATCGGTTAATATTTGCGCACCACCTATAACATGTTTCCAATTTCCCGGATATTTCACAGTCCATCGAGGATCTTTAAAGAATATATTTCTTTTTTCCACAATATCCCATCGCGAAAGGGTCGCTCGACGAATGGATACTTATCCGAAGAAGAATCATGTCGTGATAAAAGGGTATTTTTAATTTTCTCAGCCGATGTACGTTATCCAGGAGCTCTTTTTGACATCGCTTTTCGCGAATACGATTTTGGCGGAATTTTCTTACGTATTATTTACGTCGTTGTTCAACGCGACGAGTGTACGAGCATTATCCGACAGCCGTTTTACCCTTTACATATTGGCATTTAAATGCGGTAGTCCGCATGTAACGTTACAATAAACTTCTCCTTGATTGAACGTCAATATCGAACAAACGGGAACAAAAGTACTTTGAAAAGTTTCCTTCGATTATATCAACATTTCGACCACCGGCTATAACATCGATCAACTGCTTGCGTTTTTTACGCTTGCATCTTTTACGAAGTGTACCGTGTCGTATAATTGGTTAATCAACGTTAAAAAAATAATTCATCGGTCTTTATCGAGAATAATTGGAGTCGTGATGTACACAAGAATATGAGTGTTCGTTGCCCGCGATATAATTTAAGTCGTTTAATTAATCGCGTCGGCGTAACTTTGATAATCGAATACCATCGAATTCGTACTTTCATTGATACAACGTTCGGTTCCTTTCGCTAATTCTGATGTCCAATAATAATGAGAATGAGAATATCGAATTCCCACATTTGAATCGTCTATCGGTCTCGTAATTTTCTTTATCGAACGTGCTTTGCTAAGAAAATAGCGCTAGAAATACGAGAATAATCGATCGATGTTTGATTAATATGATTTTAATTCAGCCGTGCGCCTATTTAATACGTGATTTTAATTAAGCGCCATCCAAGCTCTATCCGCAAGAGTTATTTACAAAGATTCACTCGTCTATTAAGCCTCGCTTATTTATAGCGAAACACGGATCGCGTCGAAACGAATAACGCGCGAAACGTAGAAAGGATAGGAAAGAGAGCAGCCCGTGTTTTTAGATTCTTCGGCGTCGGTCTGTCTGGCGAGCGGAACGGGGCTGTTTTTCTCTCTTATTTTCACGTTCTCGAATATCGGTCGTACAGGCAAAGCAAATTTGTGGCGTTACCGAAACTTTTTTTCATCCCTCCTCGACAGCGCGTTTGAGGGGATCGGCGGTGATCGAGGTCGCGCGAACGTTCGCGTTACCCTCTGCGTGGACTTGCAAATGAGATTAACGGGTCGAGAGGCGCGCGAGAGAATCGCCGCGGATTTGCAACCGTGCCAAGCCGCTTCGAAAATCCGGCCGAATTAGAGAATCTCTGTCTGAATCGACGGGGATGAAAAGTATAGAATGTATTTTGCAACGACATATCAACTTTAGAACTTTTGTTTTTGTATTTCTCTTTGATTTTCACCTCAAATAGCTATCACTGTCTTGCGTAAATTTTTTTTTGATAAATTGGAAAAATGAGAAACGATATTTACATGTTCATTAATTGTGTAATTATTATAATGATTGTGTAAATATGAATAATAGTTCAGAAAATATTTTAACAAAATGGGGTAGAATAATGTTATTAGAAGCATATTTTTTTATTAAAATGAAACTTATACCTTTTTACATGTACATATTGTAAAATAAATTGTGTACCATACAATTTTTAAACATCGTATTACCCGCGTCTGTTTTTACTTTAATTTTTGAAAAATGAATTTATTAGATCACGTGGGCGCGAGCGTTGCTCCATTTCCGCAAAAATGAGGTATATTCTGCAACGCGAGCAAAGTTAGTTACCCGCGTTCCGAGTTGTAGTACATTATATCTGACGTGTTACAAGAATTTATGATACATCTTTCCCTGCGTAGCTTTATCGTTCTTTTTACACCCGCAAAAATAAGTGCATCCTTATAATACCCTTTTTACATAATCGTTTATTTCTTTGCGAGAAATTCTATTTATATTTGCAAGAATATATATTTATTAAATCAGTTAAAAAATATATATTATATTCAATAAAATATATTCAAAATTGAAATATATAGAATATTAAAAAATAAAACACATTTTCATTATTAGGAATCCTCGTATATTTCGCTTTCTTCACACGATCAAAATTCGCACGTGTTGCAATACCGCTCGTGTCAGCAGGAAAAATATCTCGCGAATATCTTCACGACGCGCCAGGATTTCAATTCGCTTCTCCCGTCGCCTCTTTCCGACGTCACGGTAATTTGTCGTATCTATTTGACTTTACTCGAGACTACAGTCGTAATTATTATTGCAGATAGAAAGCGTTGCAATTTCGGTCCAAGTATATTTACACAGCGCTCTCGCGAAAGTACAGCTCGTCGCCTCGACGTACAAACACAATTAACAGCCGGAGCGTGTGCCCCGCGTCAAGCCTCGAATTTACTTTACGGAACCTGTTGCAGGGGATCCTTGAGTTTTGCCTTATTCTCGCCGGGCATTTTCTCGGTATCGTCGCTTTTAACAATCCTGCTGCTAGATTATTCTGAGGACGACGTCTGATGGCACCGCTCCGCGTGTATTATTACTCACAATCGAACTCTGTGCGATTAAGAATTTGCGATAAAATTATATTATATTATGATGATTTTCGCACGCATGGGAAATTTCCATTGAATTAATATTGAATTTTGATCATTATTGATATAAATTTAATCTCATAATTTGTGGACGTTTTTATAGTGTGAACGAAAAAAATAAACTTTGCGTTTTTTAGCGATCCATTTTTTTTTACAATGTACAATCCGACTATGGCGTTGAATACTATGGTCGATGTGGTAAATTAATTTTTGATGAATAAAAGCGAACATATATATTCCGATGTTTCACATTTCGTACTTCAAATTTAACTGAATTTATCGTACAAGAGATGAAAATATCACAAAACGTAATGGCATTATCAAACAGAAAATGCTGTTTTTCTTTCGCATTTGTAAATACTGCTGCGGTGCTCGTCGAATCGCACAAGCTGCGCATGTTGTTAATTTTGCAAAGTTATTTCCGCGAGCCGCATACGACGCGGCAGCGCGTTTTATTAATCATCTCTATGTCGGTGAAAAATTGAATTTTTAACGCTGCAATCCGACAAAAAGCGTGCGCTGCGATCCTGAAATTTTCACATACTCCTGGCAAAGCGACAATACATTCGCATTCGTATTACATTTTGTTCAACTGGTGTAAAATTGATATGTTTATTTCTGACTAATTGCTCATATTATTTTTCTTTTCAGAAGGGATTTTGTTTTTACCAGTATAATAATTTTATTAGGCATTATATATATTTTTCATTCCGCATAAGTTACTTTATGACAAGCATAAATTCTTTAAACACAATTTTTTGTTTATCTATTTAAGCTATTCTTCATCTTAGAATGATTAGTAAAAAATTGGTAATTTTAAAATAAAATTGGTAATTATTGAACAAAGATTCGAAATATTTTGCTGCTTCATTAGATAAATTAGTAAATTTAATAAATGTGAGAGAATTCTCAAGAATGATCAAAATTTTTTGACGAGACATCGATAAGCTTTAATTTATTCGCATTAATTTCATGATTACTCCTGAGCTTTATAACAAAAGCGCTTTAAACGCATTTAGATATTAAACTCTCGCTAAATTTAGTTCATCGGGAGAATACTAGGAGCGTCGAAGAAATAATTAACGTCGGCTAATGAGACGCGATTAATGCCTGGGAATATATACAAGTCTGCGCGTGCATCGTCGCATCGAAGTCAGTACCGTCGCGTCTGCCGTCATTCGATTAGCGCTAAATACAATTTATCGGCAAACTTAAAAGGTGAAAACTGAAGATCGTAGCTTAGCACGGACCGAGTTAAATGAGTTTGCGAAGTTGCGAATTAAATAACAACTTTAACGAGGTTGCAGGCTGCCTTAATGCCCAGCTAAACCCTGTGCTTATATCCTGCCTTTACCATCTGTCTGTACTTTAGCGTTGACTGAAAAAACAGACTCCTCGTTTTCTCTTTTTCTCCCCCCCCCCTCTCCCTTTCTGCAAAAAATGACTGTTTGAATAGCCAAGAATGTCGTGAAAAGCGACAAAGTCTATCGTTATAGTCGTATGCATTTTTTAATAATTGTTTGCGCATGCGATACCGCAACACATGAAATTTTATTTGTTCCTGTTATTGCTTGCAGTTTGTCATGGGATTCAGCAGTTTGAGGAAATGCCGCAGTACACCGAGGTGAATCCTGGCCAGGACGCGAAGCTGGTGTGTCGAGTCCTCGGAAAGAGAGGGCAATGCATTTGGCAGAAGGATCAAAAGGTACGAAATTACTTCTTATTTGATGCAATTGTTGTTTATAGTTGTAATTATATTTCAAATTGAATAGCGTTTGAAACATAATTATACGAAGAAAGATCACTGATTTTTTTTCAGCAATTATTGTTAAATCATTAATAGAATTGCTGCGGAAAATATTTTATTTATTTTTTATCGAAAAATTTTAATCTATGTATTTCTGTCTATTTTTGTCGAGCTACAAGAATAGATAAAATATTTAGTTAAAAAACTTATATTATAGCGATAAGAAATTGAGAAAATTTTACATGCGCGATGAAAGATTTTTTTTCTTGGTTAGTTTAAGTTTTATTTTCTGGAGTAGTTTTCTTCGCGTTACACATAAGCAAATTCGTTCTGTAGATATGCGAGTTATAGAAAGAGGAAACAATTTTTTAAATCTAATCGAGAGCGACGTACGTTGCTGAGCGTAAGTACAAAACGGAATTGTGTCTCGGAACGATCGGAAGTTTAGGGTACAAGCACGACAACGGTAACGTTCGCTAGATGCGATTGCGAAAATTGAAAAACACAACATCCGGACCTGGAAGGGGGTGCAACTTGTGTGTTCCGTACCGTAACTCAGAGCATTTCATTGATTCCGTTTCTGCTTTTCTAAGTCCGTGGCAATCGACTTTTCCTCGTTCACCGCGTACGAGCGCGTAAACTTCTAGATAAGTTTGTCCTGGCCGGAAGTGGACGCTACAGGATGCGCTGACGATTCGTTCGTTTGTCCGTGGAATCTAAAGAGGAAAGGAAACCTGGGCTTCAAACTTTCGCGGAACTCCATGATAGTGTGTTCGTCAACTAAGTTCTCCAACTAGTTTCAGCGCAGATAATTCACATATATCATATCATCATTGTTTTCGTCGTTTCTTCTTATTTAATGATATTATCATAATTATATTAGGTCAGAAAAATATTAGAAGAAGTGCTTTTTGCAATTTTGAAAGGTTGAAATGCAAAAATAAAACAAGTTCGCAAGATTTCATGATTGACTTTAGATACGAAATATTTAGAAGTACATTAGAATATCGACATTCTAAACAATAATTTTGCATTGAATCCTTCAGTTGGAGAAAGAGATTTATTTTTTATACGATTCTTTAATAACTACTAATTTTATTCGAAAAAATTATACAATATATTACGTCATTCACAGAGCATTCCGATAAATTTTGAATTTAAACCGAAACTCTTATAATACGAAATTAAATCAGCACAATCCAATATTATTTAAAAGTGTTTCCTAAATTTATTTTTGATATCTAACATTCCAAATAAGAAATAGAAATTACGATAAGTAGATTAACTTAAGTTGTTCACTTCAATTACGCAGTGTCCCAATTTTTATCTTACTCTATCGTAAGATTTATTCGTGCAACTTGAATGTACATTATATATCCGATCCGCGCGGATTAAAATTTACTACATATACCGTATAAAAATGTTTGTACCGAGCTCGTATATCGCTAATACGTAGCTTTCGCTATTATGATTTATAGGAACGCATAGTTCACCGCGAGACGTCACAATCATAAAGTCACAAAAGGATGATTTACGCGCGGTCCTTGCTTTGCTTGATCAGCCGGAATCTGGCGGTAACGTGTTTCCTCGCATGATAAATTTGAACGCGCGTGATAACGGACTCGATATTTCACTTGGCCGAAAACGCAAATACGAAACGATATGGATAGCGATCACCGGTCCGGCGGGGCGAGAGTTAAAATTTTCAATTAAATCGACACGGGGTGACACGAAAACAGCGCTTCCGTCGTTGAATCGTGACGATTTCGAAAACCGGCTTTCCGTGTTCGCGTTGAGTCGTTTTCCGCGCCGCCGCGTCCTGGCCCCCTTGAATTATTGCAGCGGCGATTTGTACGCGAACAGGAATATATATATATACACACACATACGTACACGTATGCACGTAATAGAGAATAATACGGCTTCACGAGTCGCGATGTATCCACGTTAGCGGCCGCGTAAATCCGCGATACATCTTCAAAAGGCGACCGACTCGTATCGATATAAAGCCTTCGTGTCTCCCTTTGTGTCTATAGACATCGTATATACGAGCATGTACGGATGAAGGGATCTTTCCGATGCGCGCCACGTACCTCGACCTGAGATCGGAGATGTATCTGGTACGTCTGGCACTTGATTGGAGATGAGACGGGCCGGAAACCGCGAAAACACGAAATGATGCGCAGCATTCTCGGAAGTCGGGCGAAGAAAAAGGGAAGAAAGTAGACGCTTGATTGGCATGCTCGCGGCGTTTTATGCAAAGTCCCCCCTCGAAATGCCGCGATCTCCGAGTTTAATCGAACGCAATCTCTCGGGCGACTTTCAGCATTTCGCGACGTGTATTTTTAATAGTTTAACATTTTCATAATTTGTCTAATTTTTTAATAATTTTTTTTTATTATCTATGCCTTACAAATAAAAGTAAGATAATTCTACTGTATAATTTCTTTCATTAACATTGTTTCTAAGAAGATATGCAAACATTTTTTAGTCACATCATTAAAATTATATAAATTGAAAATTATATTTTATTGTAATATTACAATAAATAGAATTGAAATAATTTTCAATTTATATAAATTGAAATGACGATTATTATTGCAACTGCTTGAGTTTTTATGAGCAAATCTTATCGTCTTTGCAAATCTTCCCTTATTTAGTAACTCGTAATATCATTTCCGTCAGCCTTCGTGAAACTTCTCGACTCGTTCTTAAATAGCTTACATCTAATGTCATATTTGAATATATTTACGCATGTTACACGAGAGTGTCATGTCAGAGGACATTAATCCCGAAGTGAAAAAGTTTTACGGAGAGCGGAATCGTTGTTCGTCTCTTGCAAGGATTTAGCGCAACGTGATCTTATTACGTTGAGGAGTTTAAAGCTATATGCAGTTCCTCTTGCGGCAGTTTCCTTTCTTCCGTCTCGTAATCACCTCAAGCGCGTTTTACTTAGCTTCTTCCGAAGACGATCGTAAGTTTAGTGAGAGCTTTATGCACGCGACGTTATGCACCGCGAAAAAATCGAAGGAGAGATAGAGCTTCGCCGACCGACTGCGCGAAACGCAGCTCTAAATTGAAATCATTACAACTTTCAAATCATTACAACTTTCAAATCATTACAACTTTCAAATCATTACAACTTTTCCCGATCGAGGGAAAAGAAACATAACTATTTCGCAACCGGGGATGAAAAGTCATACCGAAGCGAGGAAACGAAACGAACGTGTCGGAGGGATGATTGTGGTCGAAAGATAGCTAAAAGTGAGGGCGAAGATCGATGGTCGGCGAGCAAAACGCGACACTCTGCTGCAAAAGACGAAGTACTTGAGTAAAGAACATTCTGCAGTTTAATTTTCGGTGATCTCGTTCTTTCTCTGCACGAAAGATCACTGTGACATTTGACTAGAAAAAATGACAGGAATAATTTATTAAAAATTACACTTATATCGATCAAACCGTAGCTGAAAAATATATCGTATTTTGAAAATTTTAGTTTTGTCGCATACATATAAAATACATGTATGGGAATAAATTAATTTTATTCTCGGGAACAATAACTATAATGTAGCTTGACAATATGAAAAATATTTGGGAGAATTCAGGAATTACGGTAATTAAAAGAATAATCGTATTTTGTACAACGCGTTTTCATTTTATTGTTATTGATTACTGCAGATATTTGTTGCAATGATCATCGGAGTATGAATAATATATATTTGTGTATACAAATGCGTAACGCTTTTGTAATTATTACAGAGAACACTCGATCGGATCGACCATTCTTCCGCATGATTTAATTAATCGAGAATAAAAACGCATGATAACAGTGACAAAACAATACGTATTAATAGCGATTAAATTCGAGTCAAAGATAGTCTATGCGATGCAAATGAAAATGTATTTATCCTGTGAGTACCTTTTGTATTGTTATTATCGAAAATATCAATGCAAATAACTATTTTGTAAATAAGTAACTAAAATAATAGTCTGTTGTTATTTTCGACTGCAGCCAACCGTGTAGGTTGTTTGCGAAGTAAATATCTTTCGAATTGTCTGACGAAAAGTCTGCGCGATATATATGTCTTCGCAATCTTTCAAAGTTGAGATGTATCTCTATGCAGAAATTTATACATTTTACTTGAAACATCTTCAAATTAATATGATATTCCCTGAAGATATACAATAAAAATAAACGATAAAATAATCAACGTATAAAAAATAAAAAAAATAAAAAGATTTACATTAGAAAAAAGTACCAATCATAATTAGCAATTAAAAATTACCGATGGCAATTAAATACCGATATATTCTGCTGATTATTAGCAAGAGTCTAAATATTGCATAAATCATTGCAGTGTCAATTGTCGATTTAAGCGTGGAATATTGTTTTGAATGACGGTAAAGGGAACGGAGCTTGAGGATCGTAGAAGACACGTGCTCGCGTTCGCATCCACGTGTTAATAATGAACCGCGATGCAAAGACCAGAGGGGGTCGTCGTCGTAATCGTCGGCTTTCAGCGGCGGCTCGAGGGCCGAACAAAAGGGGGACTACAGGCTACAGGACGCGCGAGGCGAAGTGGACGGCTAAGAGGCGCCGAGTGGCCTCTCTCGTGGCTTTGGATATTTATCATTGTGCATCTTTCCGCGCGATGCGAACTATTGTGCCCCCCCGAAAGCATTCCGCCTATGGCTAAATACTCTTGAAGAGCAGCACGATATACCGGGTATTATATACTTACGTACACACCGCGGCAGCTGCGATATATGCGCCGCGATGCGTACATTAATTTGCATATTAATTTGCGAAGGTAAGCTGGCGCTGGTGACGTTTGGATTAGAGAAAATATCGGCGGCGATATACTTGGCGCACACGCACACATACACAACCACCGTTGCACTTTCGTGAGATCGTGTTGCATCCTCCCTCGAGCATTATTTTATACGGAATTTAACTT